ACTGTGTTGCCTTGTCACTTACAGTGACATCTGCTGGATTTAGAAAGTCACTGCAGGCAAACTTAATAAAGACAGGAGTGTTAACCAGTTCCTCCCCCTCATGCTGGGCAGGTTGCTGCCTCAGCATTGTGGAAGTGATCTGGTTACAGTAAGACGAAACTTAGGAGCAAATCCTACATTTTCACCTACAATATAAAAGTTAATCCATTTAAACTAACTCAAATATCTCATGGAAAAGAATATGAATAATCTGAAATTAAAATGATCAAAAGTGGAAATGAGAACGGAATAATCATTTTCCGTGATAAGATCAAAATGATCCCACACGGGAGAAAACGTCCTCTTCCTCTGTCCATGCCGGTGTTCAAATATGAGCCAAAAACCANCTGCACACCACCGCAGGCCTGGATTGGATGCGCTGAGCTCCAGGTTTCAACCCAAGACCTGGATCTGCTGCCTGCCTTGCACTGGATTAAGATAAGATTTTGGATCCAAGGAAACACATGGCCATTGAACTTGACAAAAACTTGACTGACTGACTTAAATTTCGAATACTGAACTAAAGAAAAGAACTGAATAATAAAAAAAATCTGGACTAAAAGAAAACACACTACCTCTGTGGGCTTGTAATATTAGTCCCACATTACAAGCCGCTCTGCATAACATGTGGCGACCGGCTGCTAATGAAGCAATGAAGCTCCAAACTGCTTCGCCACGTAGAGACCCAGCAGGCTGTGGATATAAGCAACACTTCAGGTGTCATTGTCTCTCATCACTCCCAGATGGGACCGTCTCGTTCCAGAGAAACAAGCTCAGGGCTCCCGTTAGTCATTATCGTTAGTTAAAATTTTCACGAAAGTAAAATGTTCGTTTTTGTGTCACATCTGTATCTTATTTTGAAGGAATATGTAAACGTTACCATAGCGACCAGAGTCAGAGAGCGTTTGGGCAGTGGTCGAGAAGAGATGAGTAGAGCTTGTGAGTCTTAAGTCTGGTTTAGACGGCAAGATTTAAGGATTGTTGGCCGATTCTCCAAACCTCTGTGACCACAGAGCTGATAAAAGTACAACAGGTTCGATCGGTTCGTGTCTCCAAGGCAGGAGCAACACGAACCGATTCCAGTCACAAACATCGCGATTCCAGAAGAAAATCCACAAAACCCCCAACATAGCGGGAATTTAGAATAACCAACCATGGATGACGATGTAGAAGCAATAGTGACAGTTTGTGGACTCATTTTAAGAGATAAAAGAAACAAAAAGAAAAAGCGGTGGATAAAAGACGACGGGAGCAGCTGCTCTATTTGCTGCACTATGATTTGGAGGCGAGTTATGTTTTTTCATAGTTAACATTTTAACTGAATAAACATAATAAACATATATAATAATGACCTTTACATATAATAATAAACATTTCCACATATCATCTCCGATATCCACCGGACTCACAGTTGCGCGATATGTCAGCTGTTTGGGATTCCCCTCCGTTCTGACGTCACCGCGCTTTCTGATTGGCTACCTGTCACATTCAACAGGTTGTATTCTCTTCCCAGTCAGGGAAAACCCCACAGGCTGCGATAAAAAGGCCAAGACAACCCAAATTGGGTATATTCAGGCTTTAGCGGGAACACAGACATGCAGAAGCCTTATCTGACGGTCCCCCCTACCCCCGCCGGGGCCGCAACAAAATTTCCAAGTCTTGACCGGTCCAAAGTAATAAACAGGTTGGGGACCACTGCACTACCTGATGTGATAAGGGTGAACACTTTCTGTAAAAACAAAAACAAAAAAAAGTGTACAATAATATTTTATTTAATTTTGTATTAAAGAGTCTGTTCATTTTCCTTGATATGATTGTTTGTGCTCATTATCCTTCTTTTTAAACTTAGCAAGAAGACTAATTGTAACTACATTTGAAATCTAAATTTCTCAACCTATCTGTTCGTGAATTACATAAATTGTATATGTATATTCTCATTTATTAAATATGATTATACATAACAAATAATTCAATCAATACATAAAATGAATCACATATAGAGAGAACCAGACAGACATGTTAGCTCTCAGCAATAAATGAAGGCAGAAAAAATATATTGTAATCCAATAATGTTTTACATGGAAACAAGGCCAAGATGGGAATTGAACTGACGTTTCTGGGTCTATTGCAGCTCTTCTTTATGTATATGAAGCCAATATGAAGTTAGCAAACAGGAGACTAGAATGTCCACACCTACGAGCAAAAACATTTCAAAATTCAAATCAAATTCAAAAATACTTTATTGATCCCAAAGGGAAACTGAATGTAAATTTAATAATTATACACCGTGCAGTGCTTTAGGAGGGCACTGTGTCCATTGAGGATATTTAAATTGGTCCAGAAAAATAATTGACTGATGGTTTGCTATAAATTACAAATTTGGTATAGTGACTAAAAGATCAAAGTAAAGCATGTGTGAAATTGTGAAAGATGACAACAAAAGACTCTGTTCTCTAAAATGGAAATAGAAAGGATTTCATTAAAAATTTGGGGGATTTGTGACACAAAAGTCTGACTTCTTTTAGCTACCTTGTGTGTTCTGGAGCAGAGTAAAGTAATCCACCTTAAGCTGTGAAGTCTGGGGGACACTAAAGATAGCAAGAAAATAGGTGGCCAGTGGAATAATTATCTTCTATCCTAAATCCTAACTGGCTCACTCTACTTATCCAGACAAGAAAAGCAAACTGAGAAAAGTCAAATTATGCTCTGCACTTTTCTTTTGTTAAGCTTTATTCCTTACGTGTGCTTTGCGTCTCATCTTTTAGAAAAAAAAAACATGGCTCACTCTGAGTCTACAGCACTAACTCTCACTATATTCTGTATACAAGTTAATGCATGAAAATATGAAAAAAAGACAGAATTGCATTCTACAAAAAAAATCTAAATTTACTATATTGAAAATGTAGTTTTATACGTATCAATCTGTTCTAATAAGTTTTAAAGACTTTTTTCACTCTACTGGCCTTTGTTTGACATGACAGGAAAGTGGATTGTGAGAGAGAGGGAAGACATGTGGCACTTGAGCTTGTGACGACTGCGTCGAGGTCTGAGGTCACCCTCAACGGTCCTCCATCATTGCAATGCCCAGTTCTAATGTTTTAATATGTGGAAGAATGTTAATTCAGTTCAAATGTGGCAGAAATAAGCATTTCTTCTGAAATGAAGATCCCTTCTAATCTTACAAATGAGCAAATTCCATACTTTTGTACTATTTCTCTTTCTCTCTCTTACACACACATGTTTGTCTGGCTATCTTTGTGGGGACTTTCCATTGACTTCCATTCATTTCTACAGCCTAAACCTTACCTTTATCCTTTTCCTAACCCTATCCACCACATACCTAACCCTAACCAAAACTCAATTCATACCTTAGCCCTAAATCTGACCCCTGACCCAAAAGCAGGTTTCCCCCTTGTGGGGACCAGGCTCCGGTCCCCACAAGGAGAAATTGGTCCCCACAACGTAGTATATGTCAGGAACAAGGTATTACAAACAAACGCGCGCACACACACACACACACACACACACACACACACACACACATATGCACCTACCCAGCTGTCTCCCAAAGCAGTAAGACCAGTAAAACAGGTAAAAATGCTTTCACAAAATCCAGCAGGTGGACACGCCTATCTCTCTCTCACACTCCCTCTCCTTGTTTTTACTTTTTTACTTTCTGTCGCCGGTGTTTCAGACCAGCATCAAACTAAACCCCTAACCTCCAGTGTGACTCAAGAAAAAAGAAGTCTTTACTAATGTGTGGATAAGAAGAACATTTCAACAGGTACAGATAACATTACGAACAACGCACACTGTTTACAGATTTATTGTAATGATAAAAGGAGGGATAGTGCTACGGCCTTTTATTATCTGAAACTTTAATTGTGTCAGTTATTCTAGTGTTGTACCATTGTCGTCAGAGCTAACCCTTTTGAAATGTCAGTTTTAATATGTCTGCTTTTAATGTTTGTAAAAAAAGATGTTTTGTTATGCTACGTGTTCTTAAGTAAAAGAGATTATATAATGAAGAAAAAGTAGGGCCAAAGCATTAGCTCTTTTTGGTCTATTGTTTTATACAAGATTAAAGGTAATTAATAGTTGTACTTAATCTTGAAACTGACGATTAAGATAAACAACTTTAACTGAAGAACACTTTGGAGAATTTACGAAAGTTCTTATATTTTTTCTGAATTTGTCAGTAGGGAGTTTCCAGGTAATCAGTCCCGCATCTGCTGGAACATGGTGAAAGCACTCCTGGAGGTGGAATTTAAAGCTCCGTCTCACAGGAGACTCTGCCAGATGTTCCCAGCAGACCGTCACAATACATTTGGCCCTGCCAGGTCTGACCGGCATCCTCCTCCACCATCAGAGCCAGTGTCCAATACCTGTGGCAGATCAGATGAGACAGAGCATCAAACTGCAACCTAGGGCATCCTGGTACCAAGAGCATATATAGACATCCTGATGCTTGAACATGTTGTTTGTTATGGACAATCCATGATGATTACAGAAGTCCGACAACAGAGTTCAGATCAGCGGGGCCGTTCCTCCCAACCGCACCCCTCCAGGTCTCACTGTCGTTGCC